GCTCATACGAGTACAAGCTCCTGACTCTCATGTCTTGAATCTTGTTTCATATAGTTCTTACAGAAGTTAAATCTCTGAAACAACCATATATTCTTTACCTTAGATAACGACGTGACTCGTTCAAAAGCCTCCGGTATTCTTGCTTGTACTGTTCCATGTCAAGTATTACCTCATTGATCTCAGCACTTGCAGACCCATAGAGTTCACGAGCACTCCCAATGATTTCACATGGAAGCCCCAATCTTTCGGCTATGTTTATTGCATTTGAACGACCTGACAACCATTTTCAAACTTGGTTGAGTGAAACATATAACTCCATCCAATCCAGGGATAAGAAAATCTAGATGGGTCTGTAGCTAAACCTGGTACTCCCCATAAGATATTGAAAGTGGGTTTTAAGTTGAGGTCATCAAATTCCATGCAAGCATTCTCAAAGGCGGAATTGCTGCAAAAGGTGCAAGGAAGAGAAGAAGTTTATACACTCTTTTAAACAACTTGGATGATCCATGGAAATGGTGAGTGCAAATTTAAACCTGTATTTAAGCGTCTTAAGCTCTCCGTGATGTGTAGTTGCCATCGTAAGTAGAGAACCACTTTCAGCAAAAGATTCGAGTATTGACATTCCTAATGCAGCTCCTTCAAGTGGATTTGTTCCTGCTCCAACCTTTTACCAAATTAAAATACATATGTCACGACGTTGAATCTCATAACCATAGATCACGACCATTCCTTTAACTTACTTCATCTAACAACACAAGTGACCGGCTAGTTGAATGCGAGAGNATTTCCTGCGAATTAAATCAATCAGAGTAAAAATAAACTGGTAAGGAGAAATAATCTCACGAACCGATAAAAAGGTATATTAAACTGGTAATCTATCTTTCTGTTTTGTTCAGAAACTGATTATCTATCTAAGCCATTAAATCATGTTGCCAGTTTCTGAACAAAACTGGCAATAAACTGTCTTTGAGTCTTGGCCAAAATATCACATTTGGCCAAGCCAATTTTCTTAACTCTATTTGGTCTTAGTTCTTAAGAATAAGGAGAAATATGTTGAAAGTATATCACCTTGTGATGAAATGAAAGGCGTGACAACAACAGAGAATCAGACTTACACTAATTTGCTTCAAATGACCAGAAAAGGTAGAAAGTGACTGCAACAAAGATTGCTCATCACCAATATCAGCATAAATGTTGTCAAACCAAGGAACGCGTGCAGATTCAGATGCTAGAACATAAAGACCTGCAAAAAGTATTACATTAATATTAAGTGACTGAAATCTCTCTCCCCCAAAGGCCTTTGTATCTTTGGTTTTGTTTGAATTCGCAGAAGCAAACAACAGAAGAAATTGTAAGTTACTTATGGCTTACCTGATTTTGCCATCATAGCAGCGAGTCCAACCGATTTCAAGCAAATGGTTTTACCTCCTGTGTTTGGTCCAGTAATAACCAAAACTCTAGTGCCCTTCGTGATCTGGAAATCAGCTGGAACTGGCAGAGCTCCTGATACCGTGTCTGCCTGAAAAATCAACCATGTATTTACCATCGACTTTACATCAATCTAATTAATGATCGTATCATTGGAGAACTTACTGTTTTATGATATTTTACAGTCTCCCGTGTCTTTCTTATACTTTTCTTGTGTTGATAAAGCAGTAGAGGATGGTAACATTTAGGTAGATACAGCAACCATTCTTTTCTAGGAAGCGATTCCTCACTTGAGAAATTATTCTCCAGTGAGGAGTCTCCAGCAGACAAAGATCCAACCCCATCATCAGGTGGTAAGTATATATCAGGATGTGTACCACCATATGCACGACTGTAAGTTGCTCGAGCGTTTATCTAGCCCAAACAAAAAAAACACTGTAAAATCTCCTTTTGGAAAGTTGAGATTTTTTTTCTTGAGTTTGCTTTAATGGAAAGAGAAATGGTTGGTGATAAAAGCATACTTACCACATCAAGCTGAATTGAGTACTTCATCACATCCTCGATTTGATAAAGATCCACTTGCATCTGTTGTGCTTGCGTCAAGATGAACAAAAAGGTCAACCAGCAGATAGGAAATCAAAGGGAAAAATAAATTTCCAACACTAAAGAAATACTAAATTACCTTTTCAGTTAGCATTGAAAGAATCTCTGCCTCGGCCTTTGCAACTGATGCTCTCGCACTTTGGAGATCATCGTTCATAGAGACCGCAGCTATTGGCTCTGCAGCAGTCTCTCCACCTGAACCACTGTAACAAATATAACCTTCAAGAGATAGAATTTGAAGACAACTTATTGAAAGATAAGCATAAATTCTCTATAAATCAATGATAGAATGTTAACTTTTCAATTTTACCTGGAAAGCAGAAGACAGTTAACAGAAGTTAGTTGATTCGAGCTCATTTGTATACACCATCTTCCATCAATCTCAGCCACTGTCTGGAATTTTTTTTTTTAAATAATCAACAGTGGCAACTTCAAAAGTGAAGATTTGCTCTTTTTCCTACATAATGTTAAGGGAATGTTTACCATGACAGATTCTTCATTCTTTTGGCGCCTTATAATAATATCAAGCAGTTGTTGCAGCTGAAGGGAGACAACGGGAGGGTTTCAGACAATCTTACTTTATATTCCAAGAACTAAGATATCAAATCGAAAACTACAGTCTTAAGATACTACAGTATTTGACAATCTTCAATGAAATTCCGCAGTTACAAAGGAAAACTAACTTGACCTTTCTTTCAAGTGTCTGAACTCGCCCACGTGATAGTCCCAGGGAACTACTCTGAAACAATAAACAATTAGTGTTAATATAAGGATCAAGCCACTTGACATTGTAATAAAAGTGAGATAAAGAACAAACCGCAGAATTTTTAATTGTTCCATCAGGATCTATAACTTGTTCAACCAACTTGACAAATGATCTATTTATCACAGGTTGCATTATCTGTAAGAAAACAAAGAGAGAAGATGAGACCACCACAATGTTGAAGTTAAAAAGGTATAGAGATTGCAAATACCATTTCAGATAGAGGCATAAACCGTTTGTACCAATCTCCATCTTGCTTAATGGCAGCTTTGAGATCAATCTGCAATCTTTCGAAAAATCGAAGAAGAGAAGCCACCTCAAGTGCTTGGTCTGCTCTTACGGATAACCTGCTCTTAGCATGAAGAATCCCCGATTCAACCTTTACACGAATCAGTATTTACATCAAAAACTACAAAATCGATAACAAAAAAGATTATAACTTTAGGTATTGAGGATGTGAATTTACCAAGGAGATATGAATGCTGGAGAGGTCAAGACAAAAGGAACCATGTTCAAGCATTCTAATGGCGGCTTCTGTTTCATCTAAAAGCTTCAAACTTTCATCGAAATTCTGGTCAAGAGACCAAAGCTTTTTCTGAAGCCAACAGTGCCCATGTAAGTTTTAAAGCAGAGAATCTAGGGAGGTACAT